ATATAACCGAATATAGTCAAATATTGTATTTAATAAAGCTGAATATAGTGTAATATAACCGAATATAGCCAAGTATTGTATTTAATAAAGCTGAATATAGTGTAATATAACCGAATATAGCCAAATATTGTATTTAATAAAGCTAAATATAGTGTAATATAACCGAATATAGCCAAATATTGTATTTAATAAAGCTGAATATAGTGTAATATAACCGAATATGGCCAAATATTGTATTTAATTAAGCCAAATATAGTGTACTATAGCCAAATATGTACAAATATTATATTTCATAAAGCCAAATATAGTGTAATATAACCGAATATAGTCAAATATTGTATTTAATAAAGCTGAATATAGTGTAATATAACCGAATATAGCCAAATATTGTATTTAATAAAGCTAAATATAGTGTAATATAACCAAATATAGCCAAATATTGTATTTAATAAAGCTGAATATAGTGTAATATAACCGAATATAGCCAAATATTGTATTTAATAAAGCTGAATATAGTGTAATATAACCGAATATAGTCAAATATTGTATTTAATAAAGCTGAATATAGTGTAATATAACCGAATATAGCCAAATATTGTATTTAATAAAGCTGAATATAGTGTAATATAACCGAATATAGCCAAATATTGTATTTAATAAAGCTAAATATAGTGTAATATAACCGAATATGGCCAAATATTGTATTTAATAAAGCTGAATATAGTGTAATATAACCGAATATGGCCAAATATTGTATTTAATAAAGCTGAATATAGTGTAATATAACCGAATATAGCCAAATATTGTATTTAATAAAGCTGAATATAGTGTAATATAACCGAATATGGCCAAATATTGTATTTAATAAAGCTGAATATAGTGTAATATAACCGAATATAGCCAAATATTGTATTTAATAAAGCTGAATATAGTGTAATATAACCGAATATGGCCAAATATTGTATTTAATAAAGCTGAATATAGTGTAATATAACCGAATATGGCCAAATATTGTATTTAATTAAGCCAAATATAGTGTACTATAGCCAAATATGGTCAAATATTATATTTCATAAAGCTAAATATAGTGTACTATAGCCAAATATGTACAAATATTATATTTCATAAAGCCAAATATAGTGTAATATAACCAAATATGTCCATATATTATATTTCATAAAGATAAATATAGTGCAATATAACTAAATATGGCCAAATATTATATTTCATAAAGATAAATATAGTGCAATATAACCAAATATGGCCAAATATTATATTTCATAAAGATAAATATAGTGCAATATAACCATATATGGCCAAATATTATATTTCATAAAGATAAATATAGTGCAATATAACCAAATATGGCCAAATATTATATTTCATAAAGGTAAATATAGTGCAATATAACCAAATATGGCCAAATATTATATTTCATAAGGATAAATATAGTGCAATATAACCAAATATGGCCAAATATTATATTTCATAAGGATAAATATAGTGCAATATAACCAAATATGGCCAAATATTATATTTCATAAGGATAAATATAGTGCAATATAACCAAATATGGCCAAATATTATATTTCATAAAAATAAATATAGTGCAATATAACCAAATATGGCCAAATATTATATTTCATAAGGATAAATATAGTGCAATATAACCAAATATGTCCATATATTATATTTCATAAAGATAAATATAGTGCAATATAACTAAATATGGCCAAATATTATATTTCATAAAGATAAATATAGTGCAATATAACCAAATATGGCCAAATATTATATTTCATAAAGATAAATATAGTGCAATATAACCATATATGGCCAAATATTATATTTCATAAGGATAAATATAGTGCAATATAACCAAATATGGCCAAATATTATATTTCATAAGGATAAATATAGTGCAATATAACCAAATATGGTCAATTATAGAGTGTATTTTTTTCAGGAGATTGCACTGGGTGCGCAGTGTTCTCTTCTGAACACACACACTCGTACTGATGTGTGATGTGTGTTGTGTGTTTGTGCAGCAGTGTGTGAGTCGGGCTGTAAACACGGAGAGTGTGTTGGTCCAGATCAGTGTCTCTGTCATCCAGGATACACCGGCAAGACCTGCAGGCAGGGTATGAGTGTGTCACACACACATACACATGCACACACTGAGAACCACCCATTTACAAACATTACCAGAGAAACACACACACACACATGCAAACACACCCAGAGAAACTTACTTACACACACACATGCAAACACACTTACACACTGAGAAACACACTTGCACACAGACACACACATATACATACACCAACACACACTTAGAAACTCACACACACAAACAACTAAACAAACAAACACATTCTGACACACACAGACACACACTCTCACACATAAAAACTCACACAAGCACAGTCACACACAAACACACAGGGACACACTCTCGCACATACAAACTCACACACGCACACCTTGAGAAATATGCACACACTCTCACACAATCTCACACAAACACACTCTTACACAAACATTCACACAAACTCACACTTGCAAACACACACAGACACACTCTCTCAAAACACTGTCACACACCTACAAATTCGCACACTCTCACTCATACAAATTTATACACACACACACACACACACACACACACACACACACACACACACACACACACACACACACACACACACACACTGAATACACTCCTGTGTGAATATTCTCACAGCTTCTCAGTCTTTCCGTTATAAATATTAACACGTGACATTGTGTCTGGTGACATCATGTGTGTGTGTGTGTGTGTGTGTGTGTGTGTGTGTGTGTGTGAGCGAGAGTGTGTGTGTGTTTTGGTCATTAACACACAGGTGTCCAAACGCTCTGTCCAATCAGACGTAGTGGTGT